TAGCCTCCAACTAATAAAAATAAATGAAAAAAAAAAAAAAGACTCATAGTCTAGGCCCTCATCATCTGCATCAGGTCCATCCATCTAGATATAAGTACAGAGCTGCTCTGGTGTGACTCCTCTTGATCCAGAGATCTGCAAACTAACAAAACAAGTTACCCCACAGACAGAGCCAGGATGACCATGACAGTCACCCCCATAAAAAAGAGGAGGAACACGAGACACATGGAAATCACCAGTCCTTCCCATTTCTGAGATCAGATGGGCCAGGTTATCAGAGCCCCTACTCTGGAAGTAGGAGCTGTTACTTAATTGAGGCCACATTCTGCTCCCAGGGGGGACACTTCTTTCCAGTGTCCCCTTGTTCTGCTCTCATGGTTCTTTCTTTCCATCAGAAATGACCTACATTTGAAGATCAGTTGCTTTCTCTGTCTTTCTGCTCATAGAAATCTAGAGACCCAGAATCACTTTTTCATTTTGAGTACTCTCAGCAACCCCTGAGTCCAGCGGGCAGTGCTCTTGTTAATGTAATTCTCTTAAAAATTTTGTAGGTCTCCTATGAGTTTTACAGGAGCTTTCTCTGTGCCGCCCAAAGTCACAACTACCATTCTTTTCAAGGCAAACCTGTCTCTGCTTTGGCTGTGTCAGGATTCTGTGAGACAACACCCCTCAGATTTTCAGAAGCCCTCTTTTTCTTGTTGAGAAGGTCTATAAGATACTTCTTTGAATCTGTCTCAGGTTTAGACTCATACCCTCAATTCAGTATTTACTGTGAAGCCATTTGTTTATTTAGAAATATTTTGCTGATGTTGAATCTGAAAGCCCTTTAAATTTTTATGCATTTATCTCTGGCTGCACTGGGTCTCTGTTGCTGTGTGGGCTTTCTCTGGTCGTGGCAAGGGGGCTGTTTCTAGTTGTGGTTCCTGGGCTGCTTCTTGGGGCAGCTTCTCTTACCGTGGAGCATGGGCTCCTGGCTTTGGGCGTCAGTAATTGTGGCACATGGGCTTAGTTGCTCTGCAGAATGTGGAATCTTCCTGGAGCAGGGATCAAACCCGTGTCCCCTCCACTGGCAGGCGGATTCCTAACCACTGGACCACCGTGGAAGTCCTGTTTGGGGATTTAAAGCTCGTCCCTACATTGTATGTCGTATCCTATTCAGCTATAGGAAGCTAATTAACACTTTAAACAGTCTACCTAGAAATACTTTCACGTGTATTTGTAAATGCTTTAAGTACGTTTCTGTTCTCCAAGTCAACTGCTCCTGATGGTGCTACCCCCTCTTCTGACGCCACCTGATAGAAGTCGCTCTTTCTCCAGCTCTGATGGTCATCCCTCACAGCTCAGCCAGCTCTCCTAAAAGTCCCCTGAATACCTTTCCAGCCTTCACCTGCTGCCTAAAATCAGGGCTTGTCTCCGGTTTTTGTTACAACAGCTGCCACGCAATTCCAGATGTTAGTTTTCATTTTAGGTATTACCCGTAAGAAGCCACCCAAACACTTAAAAGCAGCTGTGATCGGCTATTTCACGTGTTTCTGTGGGTTGGCTGGGCTCTTCTTGCTTACGCGGTACGTTCAGCTCCAGGGCCCTTGGGGTGGGGAGCCCAGGATGGCCCGACTCACACGTCCAGCCATCGCTGCTCCTGTGGACGGGTTGCCTCCGTTCTCCCCGGGGGCCCCAGGCGCCTGAGGCTCCGTCATGTGGGGGCTTAGGGATGTGGGTCCAAAGGGCAAAGCAGACGACGCACTGGCTGGAGTCTGGGGCTCCTGGGCTCACAGAGCCCCCTTCAGCCCTATCGCTGGTCTGAGGGATCCCAGGGTGATGGCTTTAAGAGAGGGGGCCCGGACCCCATGGCTCACAGGCAGTCGTGGCAAACTCACGTCTCAGAGGAATGTGGGAAAGGCCTGCTGGCCCGGTGTTCCTTAGTTTGCCTGGTTTTCCAGGGCCTGGAGGATCTCCATGTCCGGCTCCTCTTTGCACACTCAGCCTCCCCCTCTGGGTCCATCACAGAGCGTAGTGAGGAAGGTCGCTTCTTGGAGGGAAGCCTCTGCCCTGTGTGAGCCTCAGGATGGTGACAACTCCTGAAAGTGCAGCTCTAGGAGTCTGCCCTCTAGGGTCTCGGGTCCTGGGGTGGCGGCGGCCGGTTTCCGGAACAAGTGAGTGCTCATCTCCATCGACCAGCAGCTCACTGGCTCTCAGTCCTCTCTCCACGACCCCCATGCCCCTGGACCCTCCTCTCCCTTCTCATCTTCTGAATGGGACTATGTGACTGCAGACTAATGTGCCCTTCAGGGCGCCTTCCCCGAAGTGGAGCTGCAGACAGAGGAGGCTGGGTAGAGCCACTGGCCCACGGGCCCTGGGCTGGCCCTGGAGTGATGGAAGCCCCGTGCAGACCCCAGACTCAGCCTGGAGCACCGGCCTCCGAGGCCCCGCTTGCTCTACACACAGGGGGTAGGGGGAGCCCCAGCTGCCTGGGAGGGCACCGAGCCCCCGAGGGTACAGTGCCCTGAGCAGAGGCCCCACCTGGAAGCCGCAGGGCCAGGCCTGGTCGGTCAGCATCGATTGTTCCATCTGCAGACTCTGCACCCAACATGGTTCATCCTGCTTCCTCCTGCCACTCCCAACTCTCCCCACGTGTTACCAGAGGCAGGGAAGGGTGAGTGGACAGCTGTGTTCAGAGGCTTCTCTACCTCCCGGGGCTTCCCTGGACGCCCCCAGGCCCTGCGAAGCTGTTTACAGGCCTCCACGGGGGAGATGCTCCCAAGAATGGAAGATCACTTTTAATGTTGATCTTTGTCAAGTTGACCAACCTAGACAGCATGTTAAAAAGCAGAGACATTACTTTGCCAACAAAGGTCTGTCTAGTCAAGGCTATGGTTTTTCCAGGGGTCATGTATGGATGTGAGAGTTGGACTGTGAAGAAAGCTGAGCACTGAAGAATTGATGCTTTTGAACTGTGGTGTTGGAGAAGACTCTTGAGAGTCCCTTAGACTGCAAGGAGATCCAACCAGTCCATCCTAAAGGAGATCAGTCCTGGGTGTTCATTGGAAGGACTGGTGCTGAAGCTGAAACTGCAATCCTTTTGCCTCCTGATGCAAAGAGCTGACTGACTAGAAAAGACCCTGATGCTGGGAAAGATTGAAGGCAGGAGGAGAAGGGGACGACAGAGGATGAGATGGTCGGATGGCATCACCAACTCAATGGACATGGGTTTGGGTAAACTGCAGGAGTTGGTGATGGACAGGGAGGCCTGGCGTGTTGCGGTTCATGGGGACTCAAAGAGTCAGACACGACTGAGCAACTGAACTGAACTTGTCAAGTTTGCTCTCAGCCGAAGATGAAGCAGACTCCTTAGCATCCTTGCTCATTGGTGAGGCTTCAGGTGAGGCTCAGGTGGGAGCTGGTCACCTGAGTACTGAGCCAAGGTTCCATGGACTACCAGGCGCTGCACACCTTGAGGGCTTGCCGTCTACACTGAGTCTGTGAGCCAAGGGGCCAACGGCTGAAACCTGCGGCACAGAGAGACGTGAGCCCTGGGCACCCCCGTGCCCGCTCCGGGAGCCCCTTCAAGTGGGCGGTCATGGGCCTGACCCCTTCAGCGGCAATGGTGCCGTCTATGGGCTCCGAACCCACGTGGCCACGCAGAGACAACCGAGGCTGAGCTGGCCCCTGCGTCTCTGGGAGGAACTGTGGGTTCCTCTGGCCCGGCAGCCCGGGGGAGAGCCGCTATGCAAACATGGAGCTTTCTTCAGAAGCATCAAAGCCTGAACAGACAGAGGCGCTGAGAATGTCCCAGATGAAAGGAGACTGAAGAGTCAGGGCACCCGCCTGCAGCCCTGCCCCTGGACCGGGCCCTGGACACGAGGGGCCGTGCGGGTAGGGCATTGCTGAGTCGGTCGAGCGATGTGTCCTCACTCCCGAGATGCACCCCGAGGGTCTGGGATGAATGCCCTCCACGTGCCCATCCCAGCAGTCTCCAAGAAAACAGGCAGGAGGCCAGGCCAGGCGAGGGGTGGTGGGTGCGCGCTGTGTGTATCTGTCCTGTAAGTCTGAAACTGGTTCCAGGTAGAAAGGTTTTAAAAACGGTTTTGTTTTCTGAGGGCCTGGGTGTCGAGCGAGCACCCAGGGCAGCCTGCCGGGGCTGGGGTGGGACCCCAGGGCAGGCAGCTGTGGGGAAGGGCAGCGGCCCCCAGGAGGCTGGTGGCTGAGGAGCCCGGGGTGCTGCCCCGCTGTGAGTCTGCAGACCGCCCCCCCACCAGCCATTCCCCGAAGGCCCACCATCCGCCGCCAGTGTGCAGACACTAACCTCTTTATTTGGGTTTTCTGTGAGGCAGCAGCCGGCTACGGAACAGAGGGGCAGAGTGTCTTAAGCGTTGGGAACAGGGTGGGCTGAGGACCTGTGGTCTCTCCCCATTTGCTCGGAAGCCCTGAGCCACCCTCCGTGTTTGGATTGATTCTCCTCGTCAGGCCCATCTTCAATTTGGTCTCAGGCACTTTCCGATAAGTGCATGAAGTGCTCTGGGGCTCCAGAGAGGCTCTAAAGAAATCAATACGCGTTCATCACCAGCGCGGTGCAGACGAGAGCCGGCGTCCCCCGAGCCAGGTGCCCCCACCCCCGGCGTGGCCCCCCCAGGCTGTCTCCCCACGGCCGGCCGGCAGCTCCGTCTCCGCGAGGCCAGTGTCACCTCCTCAAGGCCTCGCGGTGGGCGGCAGGGCTCCAGCCCTCCAGCTCGTCTCTCAGGACGGGAATCACGGCCCTTCTCTTGCTGGCGGGGTGTCGGGATGAGAGCCCCGGGACCTGGCCTGCTTCCTGGGGGCTTGCTGTCCAGTGGAGCAGGGGGTGCACCCCCCCCCCAGGATTCCAGCCCCGTGGTGGTCTCCTATGTCTGTCTTGCAGGGTCCTGCCTACCTGGGTAGTCTCTAGCTCATTCTGAGAAAGGCCAGGCGTCAGGTGTGGAAGCAAGACTAGTCTTTACACTCGTGCTGCCCTCGAGTGTTCGCAGGGCCCCTGTGTGGACGCTGCTCACCTCTGGGGAGCTCACAGTCACCCCTCGAGGCCCCAGGGCTGAGTGCCGAGCTCTGCGCCCCGCCCCGTGCAGCCAGGCGTGTCCCTCTGACTGGGGGCTGCGGGGGGCACCGAGGATGGGAGCCCCTGCCTTAAACGGGCATTGGGGAAGGGAGGTGAGCTCCCAGCCCGTCGGCTCGCTGTCAGAGCGGAGAGGGACAGCGCTGTGTGTGCCCTGGCTCTTTCCTCCAAGGCCCCGCAGGGCTTTCCCAGCATGAATGGTATTGATTACGTGTGACTCAGTGATGCCGACCCGGCCACTGTCCCCCTGCAGAGTCACACTGGCCGGGGGGCGTGGCCCCCCATGTGTCCCGTGCCCCCTGTCCGCCCCCATCACCACCCCCCACGCCATGGCCCAAGTCCCCCCCAGCTCAGTCTCAGCTGGGCTCTGCCACCCAGTTTGGGTGGTTAATGGCCCGGGAGGAAAAGGCGGGCATCCCGGCCTCCCTAGGGCTCCTGCCCCCCACCTCGGCCAGGACCCGGCCGGGCCCCCCTGGCCCCCGTGCAGCCCACAGCTGGTGCTCCCCTCAAAGGCCATGTCTTCCTGCCCGGAACTTCCAGGTGGCGGGGAGGACACGGTGCCTCCTGACATCCCCCTGGAGACACCCCATGATAGGCAGTGTCCAGGTAAGTCACCTGGGGGTCACCCCTGGGGTGGCGGAGGCCAGTGATCCTGGTAAGTGGGGACAAAGGGAGCTTCTTCTGACCCTGATGCGGGCTTCTTGAGGAACAGACCCTGCCCCATAAATAAACAGCAGGCCAGACCCTGGTGAGCACAGGTGTGGTGCACACGGCTCCCGCGACCTCTGACCTGTGAGTGAGCGCGGCCCTCATCTGCGGCTTCGGGAGGGCCGGGTTATGAGATGCTATTGACGAGGCATTTATAAATGTTTGATCTTCACATTAAAAATGTGGGACGGAAGAACCATTAGTCGCTGACAATAAAAAGGCTTTCTCTTGCCCATTGTGGGGCAGAACAGGGAGGCAGGTTCAGATTGGGCTCCGTGGCTGTAGGATGGGAGCATGTAAATGTGTGGTGTTTACAAGGCTCTGACCCGTGGTCGGGATATAAACTGGCCTGTCGTCTCCTCAGCCTCTGCACAGTCCAGACTGTTCATACAAAACAAAATGGATGGTTTATTTATGTCTGGTTCCATTAAGAATGGAGGAGAAAAGTTCAGCCCAGGATAAAAAGCTTAAATCTTGATTTTTTTTCCCTACCCCCTCACAAAAAGAATGGACTCCTTGCCTTGTAAATTACCCAGCCCTTGTCCTTGGGTTGGCAGCTACTTCGGGCTGGTATGGACATTGCATAATCTTAAATATTGATTCCTGTTTGACTAAAAAAAAATCAAGCCCACGTGCACCGGGCCCACCATCCACATGGCCGGGAAATTGCCTTGGCCATAGCTCACCGCTGATGGCCGCCAGCCTTCTTGACAGTAAGATCCATTCTGATTAGAAAAGTTCTAGGAAAAAAAGCCACGGTCGGGATCACTCTCTCCATCCCAGCCAGTGCTGGCTTGGCTCCTGCCCACATCTGCCTCTCGACTGCCCCCCAGGACGGAGCAAACCCTAAGCACCCCAGGCTCCGTCATCCTCCCCCGCCCCGACGTGGGGCTCCCCGACGTGGGGCTCCAGGCAGCCCCACCCCCGGGCTCTGCACACAGGGGGAGGGGAGAGGGCTGTGTGCTCGCCCCCAGAGGCCTGAGCACGTGCAGACCTGGAGCAGAGGGGTCATGTCCTCTTAGAAGGAAAGTGCTTCTCACAAGGCGAAGCTCCGTGGTGCGGTGCTTGCAGCTGTGCCCCCAGGGTCCCAGGCACTGCGACCGTTAGGGCTTGGGCTTTAGGAAAATGAAGAGGCTGGTCATTGTGCAAGTCCATTGGGGTAAAAATGAACCCTCTCTCGCCCCTCCCGCCGCACTGGCCCCTGAGCATGGGCAGGGAGGCTGCAGGCATCACCCGGGAACCCACTCCTCCTCCCGACACGCCGATGCCACCTCCACGACTAAACGCAGAAGGAAAACCAGGCTGTGAAGTGTGGCTTCCGTCTGGCAATTTGTGGTCCAGTTTCATGAAACATAATTAATTTTTCCAGTTCTCTGCGGCTGCAAGCTTCATTGTTACCTAAGCGGTCAACTCTGGGTGACTGCCAGGGCCATCAGAGGCGGGACACCTGTTGACAGATTTCTTCAGTTTGATGCTTCAAAGGGCTTCCTCTGAAGTCTTCTGGCTACTCCAGCTGTTGGTGGAGTCACATCAAGAAAATGGTGTTTGTGATGGAGTTCTATGTTCAGGTGGGGCCCTTAGCTTTTATAAAGCAGCAGAACATCCTGTTGGCCTCTTTCCAGTGTCCGAGAACGACTTGGGCTTTGCAGGTGTATCGTGTATTTTTGTTCCTGCCTCTGTCCAACCCCCCACCCTTAGTATCTCCAGTAACCCCGGCAGAAACTGGCCTTTCCTGATGCTCTGTGCTTCCTAAGCTCCTCTGTAACTGCCTCCTGAGAAGCTTGCTTTTGTCAAGGAGATGCTTTCATTGTTGTTCAGTTGCTAAGTCAGCCTGACTTTTTGCGACCCCATAGACTGCAGCACGCCAGGCTTCCTGCACTTTACCAACTCCTGGAGCTTGCTCAAACTCATGTGAATCGAGTTGCTGATGCCATCCAACCATCTCATCCTCTGTCGTCCCCTTCTCCTGCCTTCAATCTTTCCCAGCATGAGGGGCTTTTCCAATGAGTCAGCTCTTCGCATCAGGTAGGGATACCTTAGCTGCCCATAAAAACTCAAAAAAGAAATTCATTTGATTTCTTTGCTTCTCTCTGTTTCCCCGCACAGATCAGACCTTGCAAGACGTGGCCAAAAGCCGCCCAAGGTCCCAGAGAGGCGGCCCCCGGCCCCTAACCTGTCGCAGGGGCATGGCACGTTACAGGGTTCCCAGTGGCAAGGCCTCGCTTGTCCTTCGGGTTGCCGCTGCTGGGGTGATGCTGTCTCCATCTCAGAGGCAGGGGGTCTCATCTCCGGGTTTCCTAGGGCCCCAGCTCTTCCCTGGACCCCAACCAGGTCCTGTGACCTTAAACCCCAGCTGCGCCCAGCCCTGTCCCTGCTCCTCAGAAGAGCTGGGCCCGGGGTCTGCCTTGGGGAGGAGCTGGGGGGCTCTGTGTGGAACAAGCCCCCACCCCTCCATTCAGTGCCCCCAGGACTCAGGGCCAAGGGTGGATTTGGGGTCGTTTCCATTCACTGCATTGGAGCTCCTGCTGTGCCCTGAGCTCCCGCCAGGTCTGGGCCCCTTCCAGGCTGGGCTGGCCTCCCTCATCCGTGAAGCTTTGTCCCCTCAGTGCAGACGGACACAAGGCCCGAGGGGTGGTGCCCCTGCGGGGGGAGATGCAGGCGCCGCGGCCCCTTGGAAGACGGTGGCAGCGCCTTGCAGACCCGAGCTTTCTCTCACCACCCGAACCAGCAGTCATGCTCTTTGGTTTCCACCCACAGAGCTGAAAACACGTGTCCGCGCAGAAACCTGCCTGGGCATTCTGCGCAGCTTTATCTGCAGCTGCCGAAACTCAGAAGCAACCAGGATACCCTTGAGCAGGCAAATGGCTGAGGGGACTGTGGTGCATACAGACGATGGAATAGTATTCAGCACTGAAAAGAAATTATCCATCAAGCCACGAGAAGGCAGGGAGGGAACTTAAATGCATGTTGTCAGCCTGGACAGAAGCAGTCTGTAAAGGCTGCTTCCTGTCTGATCCCACCTATGTGACCCTCTGCCTTGGCGTGTGGCACTCACCTGCTTTGTGTGGCTCCTTCCCGGGCCTTATTGAGGGGAGACGGGCAGAGGCGGGTCAGCATGGCCATCCTCAAGGCCCACTCACCTTGTTGAAGCTCCTCTGAAGCTGTATCTCCCTTTGGACTATTACTGCCTGAACCAGTTCACAGCAAATGCTGGTCTGGGAAAATCAGGCATGAATTGTGCTGGATGGACCCACTCTGCAGAATGTGCTGTTTGAGCTTGGCACCCTGCCTGTGGCGGAGCCCGGCGCCTTGACCGTGGTGGCGAGGACCGCCATCCAGCCTAGCTCCAAACCAGCTACCCAGGAGCAGCCCTGTGCCCAGGGAAGGAGGTGTCACCTTGATGATGAAAAGTAGGCCTGGGTGCCGTCTCCTGCCTGGGCAGCTGTCTGAGTACAGAGACCTCCTGCAAGTGGGTATTGGACAGCGGCCATGGGGCCACACTACCCAGAAGTCTCTACTCGCAGGTGGGAAGGGGAGCTCTCAAAGCACGGGAATAAAATACACGTGAATTCTGCTTGTAAATCTTGGGATGGAGACTATCATCTGAAGCGAAGCCCCAGAAACCATAAAAGAAAAAGATTGACCTATAGGTGCCCAGGGAAAGGGATGCAGCTGAGGAGAAGCCCAAAGCTAAGCTGATGAAAGCAACAGAATGGGAAACACCAGAGATCTCTTCAAGAAAATTAGAGACACCAAGGGAACATTTCATGCAAAGATGGGCACAATAAAGGACAGAAACGATACGGACCTAACAGAAGCAGAAGATATTAAGAAGAGGTGGCAAGAATACACAGAAGAACCATGAAAAAAAGATTTTCATGACCCAGATAATCACAATGGTGTGATCATTCACCTAGAGACAGACATCCTGGAGTGTGAAGTCAAGTGGGCCTTAGGAAGCATCACTACGAACAAAGCTAGTGGAGGTGATAGAATTGCAGTTAAGCTATTTCAAGTCCTAAAAGATGATGTGGTGAAAGTGCTACACTCAATATGTCAGCAAATTCGGAAAACTCAGCAGTGGCCACAAAACTGGAAAAGGTCAGTTTTCATTCCAATCCCAAAGAAAGGCAATGCCAAAGGAAGTTAAAACTACAACATAATTTGCAACCTGAAAAGTGAAAGTGGAAGTCGCTCAGTTGTCCAACTCTTTATGACCCCATGGACTATACAGTCCATGGAATTCTCTAGGCCACAGTACTGGAGTGGGTAGCCTTTCCCTTCTCCAGGGGATCTCCCCACCCCAGGGATCAAACCCAGGTCTCCCGCATTGCAGGTGGATTCTTTACCAGCTGAGCCACGAGGGAAACTCAGTAATACTGGGGTGGGTAGCCTTTCCCTCCTCCAGAGGATCTACCCAACCCAGGAATCAAACCAGGGTCTCCTGCATTGCAGGCAGATTCTTTGCCAACTGAGCTGTCAGGGAAGGTGTGTGTGTGTGTGTGTGTGTGTGTGTGTGTGTGTGTGTGTGTGTGTGTGTGTGTGTGTGTGAGTGTCACTCAGTCATGTCCAACTCTTTGCCACCCCATGGTCTGTAGCCGACCAGGCTCCTCTCTCCAGGGAATTCTCCAAGCAAGAATACTGGAGTGGGTAGCCATTCCCTTCTCCAGGGTATCTTCCTGACCCAGGGATTGAACCCATGTCTCCTTCATTGCAGGCAGAATCTTTACCATATGAGCTATAGGGAAGTCCCAGGGAAGCTATAAATAGACAAAAGCAGTAACAGCCATCAAATACAAAGGGCTTTTACAAATTAATAAGAAAAAGGCAAACAACCCAATAGAAAATACAAGCAAATGCTATCAACAAGCACTTCACAGAAGAAATACAAATGGTGCATAAATATATGAAAATATACTAAACCTTCTAGCAGTTAGAAGAATGCCAGTTAAAGCAGTAAGATACCATTGTTACCAATTATATTAGCAAAAACAGTGACTAATAACAACTCACCTAGATTATAGGTCTTATAGAATATAAGTCTCTGGAGCAGGAAACATTCATCTCTGATTCACAGCTGTATTCCCAGCATGAAGAATAGTGCCAGGCACCTAACAGACACTCAGTAAGTTTTTTTAAATTTAATTTGCTAAAATGCACGTAATATTTATCATTTTACCCATTCAGTGGGAGGCAACATTCACCACCATCCACCTCTAGACTTCTTCATCTTGCAAAGCTGAAGCTTCATCCTTGTTAAACAGTGACTCCCTCATGCCTCCCCCAGCCCCTGGCAGCCACCATCAACTTTCTGTTTCTATAAATTTGACTCTTCTGGGTTCCTGATATAAGTTGAATCATAAACTATTTATCCTTTATGACAATGTGCCCTGCATACTCAGCCATGTCCAACTCTTGGTGACCCCATGAACAGTAGCTCACCAGGCTCCTCTGTTCATGGAATTCTCCAGGCAAGAACACTGGAGCAGGTTTGCCATTTCCTTCTCCAGGGGATCTTCCTGACCCAGGGTTTGAACCCACATCTCCTGCATTGACAGGTGGATTCTTTACCACTGGGAAGCCCTTTTATGACAATAAATAGTTTTAATTGCAGGGATGAATTATTTATTATGAGTGAAGGTATGGTGAAATATATACTTTTTTTTTCATTTTTGCAGTTTTATTGAAACACAGCTGACATATAATGTTGTATAAGTTTGTGGATAACCATGACTTGATGTATATGTATGTTGTGAAATGTTACAATAAGTTTAGTTAACATCTGTCACTTCACATAATTACAAAAAGTATTTTTTCCTTTTGATGAGAATGTTTAAGATCTACTCTCTTAGCAACTTTCAAATATACAAAATGATATTGTTGGAAATTCCATGGTGGCCCAAAGGTTAGGACTCCATGCTTCTACTGCAGGGGGAAAAAAGGTATTATTAGCCATAGTCAGCATATTATATATTATGTCCCTAGAACTCATTTACCTTACAACTTATGAAAAGGAAGTTTGTACCATTTGATTGCCTTCATCCAGTTCCCCAAGTACCTACCTCTGGCACCCACAAACCTGATCTGTTTCTATGAGTCTGGTCACATATCAGGGAGACCATATTTGTCTTTCTCTCTCTGACTTATTTCACTTAGCATAATGCCCTCAAGTTCCATCCATATTGTCACAAATGGCAGAATTTCCTTATTTTTATGACTGAATAGTTCCATTATCCCATTATATATTTATACTAGAATACTGTAATGAAATACTAGTATTCCATGATCTAGATATAGACCTATCTATCAGATCTAATCCCCCGAATATATTTGTCACTTCCACTGTATAATCATAAGGGATTTGATTTAGATCATATCTGAATGGTCTAGTGGTTTTCCCTACTTTCTTCAATTTAAGTCTGAATTTTGCAAGAAAGAGTTCATGATGTGAGCCACAGTCAGCTCTCCATCTCGTTTTTATTGAATATATAGAGCTTCTCCATCTTTGGCTGCAAAGAATGTAATCAATCTGATTTTGGTATTGACCATCTGGTGATGTCCATGTCTCTCGTGTTGTTGGAAGAGGGTATTTTCTATGGCTAGTGCGTTCTCTTGGCAAAACTCTGTTAGTCTTTGCCCTGCTTCCATTTGTACTCCAAGGCCAAACTTGCCTGTTACTCCAGGTATCTCTGGACTTCCTACTTTTGCATTCCAGTCTCCTATGATGAAAAGGACATCTTTTTTAGGTGTTAGTTCTAGGAGATCTTGTAAGTCTTCATAGAATCATTCAACTTCAGCTTCTTCAACATTACTGGTTGGGGCATATACTTGGATTACTTACCTGAAGAACTACGGACAGAGGTTTGTAACATTGTACTGGAGGCCATGACAAGACCACCCCCAAGAAGAAGAAATGCAAAAAGGCAAAATGGTTGCCTGAGGAGGCCTTACAAATAGCCGAGAAAAGAAGAGAAGCTAAAGGCAAAGGGGAAAAGGAAAACTATACCCATCTGAATGCAGAGTTTCAAAGAATAGCAAGAGAGATAAGAATGTCTTCCTACGTGAACAATGCAAAGAAATAAAAGAAAACAACAGTGTGGGATAGACTAGGATCTCTTCAAGAAAATTAGAGATACCAAGGGAACATTTCATTCAAAGATAGAGTTACATTGAGCCTGTTGAAAGCTTTGGGTAATATGAACATTTTAACAGTATTAAGTCTTCCAATTCATGAACACAGAATACTTTCTTGTAAATTTATGTCGTCTTCACTTTCTCTCATCAATAATAATTTTCACGGTAGAAATCTTTCACCTCCTTGGTTTCATTTATGCCTATGTATTTTACTGATTTTGATGCTATTGTAAATGGGATTATTTATTTTTCAGAAAATCATTAGTGTGCAGAAATGCTAATTTTTGTGTGTTGATTTTGTATTCTACAATTTTCCAAATTTGTTGATTAGATCTAACAATTTTGGGGGTGGGGTCTTTTATACTCAAAATGATGTCATCTGAAATAGTACATTTTTACTTCTTTTTTCCAATTCTGCTGCCTTTTTTGTTTTTCTTGCCAGATTGCTCTGACCAGGACTTCCAGAAGTAGGTATTTTCTTCTGTTTTGGTGATTGAGAGTATTTGGCAATACATATCCAAATTTAAAGTTCATTTTAAAAAATTAGCAGTGGGGTTGCTGAGTGTTCAGTCATAGTAGATACTACCTAGAATGTGTGTCAGCAGTGTGTGAGAGTATTATCTCTGCTAATTATCTGATATTATCACTGACACAAAGTATTATCTGTACTTTCATCATTAGCCATTCTGGTGGAGGTATCACTCTGTGGTTTAATTTTCAGATCTATGTCCATTGAGTCTTTGATGCCATCCAACCATCTCATCCTAAGTCGTCCCCTTCTCCTCCCATCCTCAGTCTTTCCCAGCATCAGGGTCTTTTCCAGTGAGTCAACTCTTTGCATCAGGTGGCCAAAGTATTGGAGTTTCAGCTTTAGCATCAGTCCTTCCAGTGTACACCCAGGACTGATTTCCTTCAGGATTGACTGGTTGGATCTCCCTGCAGTCCAAGGGACTCTCAAGGGTCTCCTCCAGCACCACAGTTCAAAAGCATCATTTCTTCAGCCCTCAGGCTTCTTTATGGTCCAACTCTCACATCCATACATGACTACTGGAAAAACCATACCTTTGAGTGTATGGAACTTTGTCAATAATGTAATGTCTCTGCTTTTTAATACGCTGTCTAGGTTTGTCATAGCTTTTCTTTCAAGGAGCAAGCATCTTTTAATTTCATGGCTGCAGTCACCATCTGCAGTGACTTTGGAGCCCAAGAAAAAAAAATCTGTCACTTTTTCCTCATCTGTTTGCCATGAAGTGATGGGACCAGATGCCGTTATTTTCTCTTTTTTTTTTGAATGTTGAGTTTTAAGCCAGCTTTTTCACTCTCCTCTTTCACCTTCATCAAGAGACTCCTGAGTTCCTCATCACTTTCTGCTATTAGAGTGGTGTCATCTGCATATATGATGTTGTTGATATTTCTCCTGGCAACCTTGATTCCAGCTTTTGATTCATCTAGCACAGCATTTTGCATGATGTACTCTGCATAAAAGTTAAGTAGGCAGGGTGACAATATATAACCTTGATATAAACCTTTCCCAATTTTGAACCAGTCTGTTGTTCCATGTCCAGTTCCAACTGTTGCTTCTTGACCCACATACAGTTTTCTCAGGAGACAGGTAAGGTGGTCTGGTATTCCCATGTTGAAGGATTTTCCTGTTTGTTGTGAGCCACATAGTTAAAACCTTAGTCAATGAAGCAGAAGTAGATGTTTCTCTGGAATTCCCTTGCTTTCTCTATGATCCAGAAAATATTTAACATCTTCTTTATGTTTATCAGCCATGTGAATATCTGGGTTTTTTGTGCATTGCCTTTTCAAGTCTTCTTCCGTCTTTCTATTAAGTTGTGTGCTTTTATATTCTTGGATTATATTTTTGTCAATTGTGTATCTTGTAAATATCTTCTTGCACACTGTGGCTTGCCTTTTTATTCTCAAAGCTATAATTTTGAAGAAAAGAATTTCATTTTAGGTAGTGAAGTTTATCAGTTTTTTTATCTTACGGCAGAAGGTTTTGTGTCCTGTTCAGTATGTCTTCGCCTGTCACACGTTAATAAAGATACTCTCCTGTGTTTTTAGTCTAGAAGCACTGCTCTTTTACCTTCCACCTTTAACGACAGATCTCTGTAGACTTGATTTTTGTGAGGTGGGGGTCGCCCGGTCATCTCAGTGCCACATACTGACCCAGTTTCACTTGTCATGTGTGTGCTTTTGTTTCTGGACTTTTGGTCTGTCCTTGCACCAGTCACGTGGTAACATGATTATTACCATTCTAAAGTAAACCCTGAGGGCTGGCGGACTTCCCTGGTGGCTAAGATGATAAAGAATCCATCTACAGTGTGGGAGACCTGGGTTCAGTCCCTGGGGAGGGATGATCCCCTGGAGGAGGGCTTGGCAACCCACTCCAGTATTCTTGCCCAGAGAATCCCATGGACCGAGGAGGCCAGCGGACTACAGTCCATGGGGTCGCGAAGAGTCGGACACGACTGAGCGACTAACACTGATGGCTGGTAGTCTGTTTCTTCAAGATCACCTTGATGACCCTTGGCCCTTTGCATGCCCATGTAAATTTTATAATCAGCTTGTTTGTTTCCACAAAAGTAAACCTGCTGATATCTTTATTGTGTTTTGGGAGAATTTACCTCTTTCTAGTATAGTTTTTTAACCCATGAATGTGATACATCTCTATAATTATTTAGACCTTTTAATCTTTTCTCAATTTTGTTTTGTGGTTTTCAGGTTATCAGGTTTAAACAACTTAAAAAAAATAATGTCTTTAAATTGTTTTCATTGTATACATTCTGTTGCTATAATGTTGTTTTCAGTAGCAAAGAATAGGAAACTTATCATCCCAGGGATGGTTGAATAGATGTGCTTTCACCTCTACTAAGCAGAGTTCTCTATGCCCACTGGAAGGAATGAGGTGGTTCCACATGTATGGTCAGGGAAGACTTGAGGAAATCTGATGCAGAGCAGTAGAAAAATCATGACCCATGCTGTTTGTTTTTTTTCTTAAGCTATATGGAAATGTCTGTTTCTAAAGTCCTTAAAACAAGGTTTAAAAAGATTGACAGCCAATTGGTAAGAATGAGTCTGCTTTGCAAGAGCAGAGGTTTAGGCAGAGCTGGGATGAAGGAGGATTAACCCTGTCTTCCCCAATCCATGTTCATTGCTTTTATTTTTACAATAAGCTTGGATTACAAGAAAGCAAGAAAATGGATTATTATCTGCTTAATGCCTGTGTCATGTTGGCCCAGGAACTGGCCCACAGTGAGGCCTGCAAATTCTGGAGCCCACTTGAGCCCAGGGAGGCTGCTGATCTAAGTCAGGAGTTTTTTTTCTCCTTGTTCTGTTACTCTGAAATGTGTATCCTACAAACGAACACAAAACTGTACGCTGCGGAGAAAAACTGTAACAGATCGTGAAAAAACCTGAATTCTCAATGGGCCGACGTGGACTCGTTAGACTGCGTGTCCCAAGCACAGACGCAGGTGCCTCCACCCAGGGGCCCCTTGTCTTTTCTGCCCGTGGACCCTGTGTCAGCCTGATGAAGCCCCCGCACCCCTTCTCGGAGCAGTGGCTTGGTTTGTGTGTTTAGGCTGCACTGGGTCTTGGTGGCCGGGCACAGGCCTTTTCCAGTTGTGGCGAGAGGGGGCCGCCCTCCCTGGCGGAGTGCAGGCTTGTCGTGGTGGCTTCTCCTGCCGGGGAGCACAGGATTAGGAGTTGTGGTGCTCGGGCTCTGTTGCTCCTCGGCATGTAGACTCTTCCTGGACCAGGGATCGAACTCATGGCCCCAGCACTGGAGGGTAGATTCTTAACCAGTGGACCACCAGGTAAGTCCAAAACAGTGTTTTTAATGCATGAAATAAAATACAAAGCATTACAAAGAAAATTAATTACACTGGATACTTATCAGAGCTCTAAAAAAATCCCGTTTCTGGTACTGCTCCTTCGGTGCCCCCTCAGTATTGATGCAGTAAATGAGATCTAACAATGGGACTTCTGTTGCCAGAATTCTGAAGTCGTGATAACCACTACAACCTTAAAATCTCTGCAGAAAGACCCTAGAACTACTGAAACTACTGTGGTTTGTTGTCTATATGTGTTCCCGGAAGAAAAAGCTAAACCTTGTGGAAGTTAGTGGAAGTATTGAAGATGTGGTTTGTTTCCCATTCACTTTCCTGGGCCCCCGCCGTGGTGGACAGTGGCGTGAAGAATACTGTTTCCTTGAAAGTTTGGATTTCAAAAGCTGGGGTGCAGGGGATGAAGAAGTAAGCCAAGAAGATAAGCACCGCCCCCCAAGGCTTGTGAACTGGCGGGTGACAGTACACAAGCTAATTAATTAAAGCTTCCCTCCTGGCTCGGAAAGTAAAGAATCCGCCTGCAGTGCAGGAGACCTGGGTTCGCTCCCTGGGTCAGGAAGGTCCCCTGGAGGAGGGCATGGCAACCCAGTCCAGTGTTCCTGCCTGGAGAATCCCAGGGACAGAGGAGCCTGGGGGCTACAGTCCACAGGGTCACAGAGTCACAGAGTCAGACACGACTGCGCGACTTAGCACAGGACAGCACATACTTTAGTAAACGGTGTAAACGCCGAGGGAATAAGTGCCGGAAAGGGAGAGGAGAGGTGCGTGGGTGGTGGCTGGAATGGGGTGCTAGTTTCAGACGGGGACCCCCTCCAGGGATGGGGGCCAAGAGCTCGGGGAGCGGCATAGAGCTCTTTTGCAGAAGAGTGTCCTGGAGAGGGAGCCGAGAGTGTGACGCCCCAGCAGGAGTCTGCGTCCAGGGGCTGCCTGCCTGGGTCGCCAGCGCCCTGGGGCTCGGGCAGTGGGGTGTGGCGGGTGATATGGCCACCACGTGTCCTCGCGGCCCCAAGGGGGCCCGGGGGGCTGCGGTGAGGGCGGTCCGCCCTCCGTCGTGAGGGGACGGCTGGCGGCTGTGCTGAGGCCTGGCAGGACTGGAGAGGGAGCCGCGGGGCTGCTCTGGGGGCTGCCCCTTGAGCCGGGATGCCGGTGCATCTCAGACCTGGTGGCTGCGGTGGGATCCCCTGAGATTCCTGATGTCCAGCTGAAGGAGACACGTTTTAAAGAGATTTAGGAAACAGGCTGTGAGGTTTAAAAAGTAGGACTGAGGCTTCTCGAATGGTTTGAAAATATTGGAAACTTTTTTTTAAAGGAATCCTCCAAGGAAATTTTTTTCCTTTAAGAAAAAGTTTCTTCCTACCTTAGGAAATGACCTTGGTTGAGAATCCGTGTGTGTGTGTGTGTGTGTGTGTGTGTGTGTTCCACACGCAGGATGGTTCAAAAGGAACCAGGCAGAATGTAGGCCAGGGCTGTGGCAGGCGCCCCACCTGGGCCAGGCAGGGCCAGTATCGGGGGCGGGGGGCCTGGATCCCACCACGCCTCACCCCAGGCTGGAGTTAAGGGCTGTCATCTTGACTTCCGTGGCCTGGAGATGCCGAGTAGGGTCTCATGTGACTGCCTCCCCCTTCTGGGGTGTATGGACACCAAGCAGCCCCTCCCGGGGGCAGGTGGGTGGCAGGGACCCTCACCAGGCTCGGCCAAGGCTGCAAGGGCTCCGGTGGCCCCCACATGTGGACCTGGGACTCAAGTCCTAGCAGCTTTCTCCAGGAAATAGTTTCCCCAGAAAACCAAAAACCTTCAGAGCAGTTCTCCATGAAAAGTAATGTTGATTTTTTTTTTAATGCTTTGATAAAACCACAAAATTTTTATAACATTTATTGAGAAATAATTTACACACCATACAATTCACCCATTTAAAATGTACAGTCCAATGGTTTTCAGTACACTCACAAATGTGAACAACCATCACCTTAGTCAACCTTAGAATATTTATCTCATCTCAGAAAGGACCCCCCCCCATGTTTCTTTAACTGTCATCCCCTAACCCCCATGTCCCCGACTCTAAGCAATCACTAATCTACTTTCCATCTGTGTGGATTTACCTGTGCTGGACATTTCCTACAAATGGAAACACACAACATATTTTTTTGTGACTGGCTTCTTAGCACTGTGTGTGCATTCAAAGTCTGTGTTGTAGCACAAGTCAGGGCTTCATTCCCTTTATGCCTGAATAACATTGCATTGTATGAATATATCAAATTTTTAAAATCCATTCATAATGGACATTGAGTTGTTTACACCTTTTGGCGCTTATGAATAATGCTGCTATAAATGTTCATGTGCCACTTTTTGCATGTGTTTTCATTTCTCTTGGGTGTGTCCCTAGGAGCAGAAATACTGGTGACTCTATTTTTAACAATTTGAGAAACCTCTGGACTGTTTAATGTGGCTGCACCATCTTATATTTCCACCAACAGTATGCAAGGGTTCTCGTTTCTCTACATCCTCATCAACACTTGTTATTGTCTGACGTTTTCATCATAGCTATCCCAGTGGGCATGAAGTGGAAGCTTACTGTGGGTCTGATTTGCATTCCCCTGATGACTAGTGGGACTGAGCATCTTTTCATAGGTTTATTGGCCATCTGTGTATTTTCTTTAAATATAGTCTATTTTAAGTGTCTGTTCAGGTCATTTGCCTAATTTTAAACTGAGTGATTTGTCTTTATATGACTCTTTGCAACCCCATGGACAGTAGCCCACCAGGCTCCTTTGTCCATAAGATTCTGAAGGCAAGAACACTGCAGTGGGTTGCCATGCCCTTCTCCAGGGGATCTTCCCAACCCAGGGATCGAATCCACACAGGTCTCTGGCATTGCAGGCAGATTCTTTACCATTTGAGCTACTTGGGAAGCCCCTTATTATTTGTAAGTGTTTGTAATCAAATTGCCAACATCCGTTGGATCATAGAAAAAGCAAGAGAATTCCAGAAAAACATCTACTTCTGCTTCATTAACTATGCTAAAGCCTTTGACTGCATGAATCACAACAAACTGTGGAAAATTCTTAAACAGATGGGAATACCAGACCACCTGACCTGCCTCCTGAGAAATCTGTATGCAGGTCAAGAAGTAACAGTTAGAACTAGACATGGAAAAATGAACTGGTTCCAAATTGGGAAGGGAGTATGTAAAGGCTGCATATTTTCACCCTGCTTATTTAACTTATATGCAGAGTACATCATGCAAAATGCCAGACTGGATGAAGCACAAGCTGGAATCAAGATTGCCTGGAAAAATATCAATAACCTCAGATACACAGATGATACTGCCCTTATGGCAGAAAGTGAAGAGGAATTACAGAGCCTTTGATTAAAGTGAAAGAGGAAAGAGAAAAAGCTGGCTTAAAACTCAACTTTTAAAAACTTAGATCATGGCATCGGGTCACATCACTTCATGGCAAATAGATGGGGAAATAATGGAAACAGTGACAGACTTTATTTTCTTGCACTCCAAAATCACTGCAGATGGTGACTGCAGCCATGAAATTAAAAAACGCTTACTCCTTGGAAGAAAAGCTATGAGAAACCTAGACAACATATTAAAAAGCAGAGACATTACTTTGCCAACAAAGGTCCATCTAGTCAAAGCTATGGTTTTTCCAGTGGTCATGTACGGATGTGAGAGTTGGACCATAAAGAAAGCTGAGCGCTGAAGAATTGATGCTTTTGAACTGTGGTGTTGGAGAAGACTCTAGAGAGTCCCTTGGACTGCAAGGAGATCCAACCAGTCCATCCTAAAGGAGATCAGTCCTGAATATTCATTGGAAGGACTGATGCTGAAGCTGATGCTCCGATACTTTGGCCACCCAATGTGAAGAGCTAATTCATGTGAAAAGACCCTGATGCTGGGCAAGATTGAAGGCAGGAGGAGAAGGGGACGACAGAGGATGAGATGGTTGATGGCATCACTGACTCGATGGACATGGGTTTGAGCAAACTCCAGGAGTTGGTGATGGACAGGGAGGCCTGGCGTGCTGCAGTCCATGGGGTCAAAAGAATCGGACATGACTGAGCAACTGAATTGACTGAACTGAAATGTTCTTTATATAGTCTGAATACAAGTCCCTGCTCAGATATATGATTTTCAAGTAGTTTCTCCTATTGGTGGTCTTTTTGCTTTCTTGATGCTGTCTTTTGAAACATAGGCATTTTTAGTTTTGATGAAGTCCAGTGTATCTGTTTTGTCCTTTGGGGACTCATGCTTTTGGTCTCTCATCTAAGATGTATCGCGTCTGTTGTGTCTTGTACAATTGCTAAAGTGTCACATCCAGTGTCAAATGTGTTTTCTTCCAAGAGTTGTATAGTTTTAGCTCTTACATTTAGGTCTTTGATCCATTTTGGCTTAATTTTTGTCTGGGTGTGAGGTCAGAGTCCAGTTTCATTCTTGCACTTTGTGGCTTTCCTGTTGACCATTTGTTGAAGAAACTATTCTTTCTGCATTGAGTGGTCTTGGCACCCTTGTTGAAAATCCGTTGGCCATAGCCATGTAGGGTCATTTTTGACTGAGTTCCGTTGCTCTGCATGTCTATCCTGTGCCAGCACCGTGCTGCCTTTTTGTTTCTTTGTTTTTGGCTGTGCTGGGTCTTCGTAGCTGCATAGACTTTTCTCTAGTCGCGATGGGTGGGGGCTAGTCTCTGTTTGCGTGCAGGCTTCTCATTGCAGTGGCTGCCCTTGTGGTGGAGCACAGGCTCTAGGGCGTGTGGACTTCAGTAGCGGCGGCTCCTGAGCTCTGATGCACAGGCTCAGTTGCTCGAGGCATGTGGGATCTTCCTGGCCCAGGAACCAAACTGTGTCTGCTGCATTGGCAGGCGGACGCTTTATCACGGAGCCACCGGAGCCGCCCCTCGCCATACTGTCTTGACTTCTGTCTCTTTGTGGCAAGTTTTGAAAGGGCAAAGTGGGACTCTTCCGACTCTGCCCTTTTGCAAGATGGGTGGCTGTTTTCGGTCCCGTGTAATCAGCACCGTATGAACTTCAGGATCTGCTGTCAGTTTCTACAAAGAAGCCAGCTGTATTCTGATGGGGACTGCATTGAATCTGTAGATCAACCAGGGGGATTGTCATGTTAACAATATTGCCCAATTCACGGACATAGGATGCTTTCCATTTGGGTTTTTTTTTTTAATTTCTTTCAATGATAAAGATGTTTAATAAGTTTTTTTTAAGGCATCTGGAGTGCTCTGGACAGCTGAGTTTTCCAGAGTGCCGGCTCTCCCAACTCCCTATAGAGTACAAGGTCTCTGCCCTTCTGTGGAACTGACGCCGCCAAGAAGAAGGAACCCGAGGAGTCAGATGGGAGGGGGTTGGGAGTCAGTTTTGTTTTAACTTTTAAATGCCCTCCTGCAAGCCCCACTCTTACCACTCACCTAGACAGACGGCTTCTCATCACTCCATCTTACCGCCGCTTCCATGCGGAGGTCCAGGGTGTTCTCTTGACTTTAACACTGCCTCTTCTGTTCGTCCCTGAAACTATTCCTCTCTCTGTTGCTGCTGGGGATTCATCATTTCTTAGGGTCCCCAGCCGTCCTTTCACATGTGTGAGGTGCAAGTCACTTCATTTACCAGGCATGCATCCGTACACTCAGCACAGCTCTTTGAAAAGCCCAGCCTCCCCCACTGCATTGCAGTGTCACCTTCCTTACAAATCAGATAACTACGTATGTGGGGTCAGCTTCTAACTTTTATATTCCATTAGATTATTTGTTTAGTCTTGTTCTAACACTTTAGTTACTATGACCTCATAAGAAATTATTTGCATAGTGTTATGGTCTAAATGTTTGTCCCCCCAGAATTCATTTGTTGAAACCCTAACCCCCAGGGTGACGGTATTTGGAGTGGGGACTGAGATTACACTGAATCTCTAGATAATTTTCCTTATCCCTGAATAAGGAAATGGCAACCCACTCCAGTACTCTTTCCTGGAAAATTTCATGGACAAAGGAGCCTGGTGGGCTACAGTCCATGGGGTCACAAAGAGTTGGACATGACTGAACAACTTCACTTTCCTTCTTTCTTTCTTTCTAGATAGTTTTAGGGATTGGTATCTTTTCAGTATGTAGTTTTCCAATCCATGAATATGGTATTTTCATCTATTAATATTTTCAAAAATTTCTGTCAATGATCTTATGGTTTCCTGTGCAGACATCTTCATAACTTTGACTTTCTTTTTAGCTTTTGATACTTTTATAATATTGTAAACTGCATAATTTTTTAAATTCCATTAGTTACTTATCATTGTTATAGAAACACGATTGTGAATTGACCTTGTGTTCATCAGTCTTGCTAAATTTCATTTATCAAAGTAAATACTTTGAAAGTTCTTTTGGATGTTTTATAACATTAATTTGAAAATAATGGTTTTCCCTAATTTGATCAGTAATTCTTTGATTGCAAACAACAGAAGTTCCTCTGAGGAAGTTCAGGTCAAAGGGAAGTTGGTATCGGGCCCTGCAGGACGCTGGGAAAGCCCGGGAGGGTGCCCAGCTGGGCTTGGTGGGGCCTCCGGCAGCCCCAGGGCCCTTGGACCTGTAGCCACAGGCTCCGCCCACATGCCCCGCCACCCTGCCTCCCGACGGGGGGCCTGCATCCGGGTCTCTGGTCCCCACCTCCATGGTGGCCTCGCTCTGCGTCCACGTGGCCTTCCAGCCCCAGCACCCCTCCCCGCCTCCACTCCTCTGGCCTCAGTGTCCAGGATGACCGCTGGGCTCCAGACGGGGGCCCCTGCCTCCCGGGGACCCTGGGTGGCACACACTTCCTAGGGAACCCTGCTTGTCTGACAGCAAGCTTGGAAAACATGAGTGTCACGTGTACACTTTCACCTCCCAAATATGCCTGCTATTGCTATAATTCTAATATTGTTTCCACATATATGTGTTTTTCCTTCTCGCTACATAGAAATTTACAAATTTGAATTGTTATATACACCATGTTATATGCTTGCTCAACTTAATTTTATGTTTTAGTATTTACCATTTCATTAAATATGCTTCAAAAACATGATCTTAATAGCTTAATAGAATATACAATTTTACATTATATGGCCACACCATAATTCAACTAAGAATCCCTATTTTTAGATTTTTGGGTTCTTTCCTGGTTGTTTTTTTTTTTTTAATAAATACAGCAGTGAGCAGTCTTGCACTTAAAATCCTGTCTTATCTCTGATAATTAGGGTTGATCCCTAGACATGAAATTAGTGGGTCAAAAGATACGAACATTGTCAAATCTCTTAATACAATGTCAGGTTTGTTTCTAGAAGGGCTGTACTTGTTTACTTTTCTTTCCACAACTCTAAGAATACCCGTTTCTCCATCAACGGGATTGAATATTAGCTTTTAAAAGAAATCTTTTCTAATTTAATAGGTGAAAAAAAATTGATCTGTTTTAATGTGCTATGCATTTCTAAGTGAGGTTGAATATATTTTCCAAACTTATTAATCACTTGTTCCCTTCTGAACTGACTGTGAATTTGCCCATTTTTCTCCGGAATGTCCATCTAGTCTTACTGATTTAAAACAGCTCATTGCATATTGAGAATATAAACACTTTGTTGCAGGACCCTTTCTCACTCCCCTGGTAGCTGCAGCCGCATGTCAGCCTGCTGGTCGTGGAAGGAGGCTGTGATGAGCTCTGTCCTTGGAAGCAGAAGCGAGAGTGATGCCCCACCATCAGGTGAGTGGGCGGTGGTCCAGGGCTGCTGTGAGCACAGCAGTGGGCGGGGGTGAGGGGCCCTGGGGTGCCCAGGAGTCCCATGTCTCCAGCTATATGCGCGTCCACACGTGGACCCGAAAACAGCGGGGAGGACGCGCTCGGGAGCCCCGCTTCGCCACCTCCTGGGTGTTGAAGGCCCCAGGGCCTGAGCCTCTGCCCTCAGTTTCAGGTCATGAGCCAGTGACACTGGTCGTGGCCTGGGCCCCGGCTGACGCTGGCTGAACGGGCCGGTTTCCGTGTGACAGCCTGTCCAGGTGATGGGCCGAGCGCGGCCCCGTGAGCCCCGGGGCGTGCGTCCTCCTGGTGCGGCCGGAAGGGAAGAATGGTGGTTCTCACTTCATCCAGAGGACCACACGCTCCTGTTAACCCTGAAAGTCTCCGCAGCCTGAATCAGTGGAAAGAGGAGGGGAGGGTTTGGGGACCGGGGGCCGTTCAGCGCCGGGCCCTGGTCCTTCCGGCCTGCTGACCTTGGGCTGGTCCCCTGCCCTGCCTGGACTGCAGTGCTGCCGCCCGGGAGAGCGGGACGGATCCAGTGAAGAGCCCCCGGTCACCAGCGGGGTCAGGCCAGGAGTCCCGCGACCCTCAGGTGCACATGTGGCTGAGGCACCGCGCTCCCCTGGGGTTCCAAGAGATGGTTTCTGAGAAACCTGAGTCAAAAATGATGTTCACGTCCCTCCTGAAGCATTGCCTATCCGGCCCCATCCTTCCGGGGCCTACACGAAGTCCCCGATGCCCAGGGGCACCCTGCAGCCTTGGCCAGGTGCCCATGATGCCAGCAGTGGGAGGGAGGGAAGCACAGCTTTGCCTCCCCCTCAAAACACCCAGAGCCCTTCCCACACCACAGGAGCACCCCTGGGAGGCCGCGGCGGCAGCTGTGGATGGCTCCCTGGGTGAACGCCGCCACCCCAGCCCCGGCCCCTGGGCAGGCTCTCCGCGGGAGTGAGCGGCCTGGGCCAGACGAGATGGCCAGTCTGGACTGGTGTCTTTCCTCCCCACCCTCCAGTGTAAGGAAAGCTCTTGGATCCGGGGCCTGTGGGCTCCACGGGGCTCCTCACGGGGTGGCCCAGAGCAGATGTAGGGCCTGGCGGGGACGGACCCACACTCACTGCAGCCCCAGGAGAATGTGGCCCTTCTGGTGCCGTCAGAGGATCACGACTGCGTGAGTACCATACATACAGGTTCCGGGAGGTCTTTCTCAGCACTGGAACCATAGAAGGTTCAGAGTGAGCCTGGAGACCACTGTGGGTCCTGCCCAGGACCACGGGCGTCCCTGGGTTGAGCCTCCGCTGAGCAGATGGGCACCCGCCGCTGTCGGGGGTCCACCTTGGCCAAACCTGGGCGGCGAGGAGGCTGGGCCCAAGTCCGCCCGGGTCAGGAGCCGCTAACACTTGTCCCCAGGCTGGGGGCCAGGAGCTGTGTGCCTGCTGCTCCCAGCCCCACATCAGCAGCCACTCCCTGTGAAACCCACAGCCCTGCACTGGGAATGACAAATGACCAAAAAATCAATTTGTAATCTGATTGGAGGTTTTTGATTTCCTCTGATGAGTTTAAATTTCATTAAAAGCAACCTTATTCCAACATAAAAGGAACCCTTGAAGGGTAAAGCGGGGATTGTCTCAGCGCGCCTAAAGCGGCCAGCCCTTTGTGTGATTTGCTCATCGCATTAATTGTGAGGGCCAGGCCTGGTGGCCCCCCCCCGCCAGTGTCCGTTGGCAGCTGCGCGGTTATCAGGGCCTGGGATCGGCCGGGCGGGCCCGGAGCACAAGGACTCACATTCAAAACCCGCTCTTGGGCATATTGACACTCAAGTTATCAACAGCTCTTATTATCTGCCGAGCGGGAGCGCGCAGCTCGTGGGGACAGGAGGAGCTACAGACCGCTGCCGCCGCCAACCCCCACCCCCCAGCACCCTCTTAATTGTGTGTATTCTCTGGAAAAAGTGATCATCGAAGCCTCTTGTCTTGATGAGAAATTGACATTTTCTGAGGACTGTTCGGGTGCCGAGTGGGGAGATAAGGCCCTGAGTTGTTTTAGAGGAGGGCGGGCGTTCCTTCCTTTCAGGGCCCTCTTTATTGCTCCTGTTGACCCGCTTGATGAGTATGGATTTCATGAGGTCTTTTTCAGCATCTGAACTATAAAAGGTTCAGAATGACACCACCCCTTATAGACAAAAGATAACCTTGCCCTTTGAATATATCGATTCTTTATTAACTAGGCTGTTTAATGCAATGAAATGAGGCATTAGATTGAAGCCCATTTCAAGTGCTTTGAATAATCTTTAAAAGCTTGGAAGACCCTGGAAGGCGGCCTGACAATAATTGGCACACATTTGGAGAGAATGCAGCTCTCAATTCGGATTCAGAACACAAACATGAAGTAATTTCCCTCCCCCAGGTCGCTGGACCCCAGCAGGCAGCTCCGGGAGGCGGCCCCTAGCCCACCCCCGAGTGGGCATCCCTGGCACCAGCTCAGAGCCAGGGGGCTGATGTCGTCCCCAGCACGCGGCAGAGGGGCCGGCTACAGCCTGTGCCCCATGAGCCTCCTTCTTTGCTGTCTCTTTAAGGCTGAAACAAGAACGCAGTCAAAGGAACCTGATTGTCACTGACAGGAAAAAAAAAAAGGTATTCACAAGTTTCTTTATGTTTTGAATAATTGTTCCCTGTTTTGCTCGGTAGAACAAGTAATTAAGATGACATTTGTGAGTACTAATTTGGATCACACTTACATGTATGTGTTGGAGAGCTGCAAGCCAAAACATGCAAAGCCAGCCTTTCATTGAGGAGAAAATGAAAAATGCAGAATGAGATGGAGCTGGGGCACCCAAGACGCACCAGAGCCAAACAGGGCTGCGAAAACCAGAATCCCCGTGCTGACGCTCGTCTCATCACTGCCCGCACCTTTGGCTGCCCCTGCGTGCGGCCCGGCAGCGGGGCGGTGCACGGGGTCTGCACACCTTGGCCTGGGCCCGGCCTTGACGCCGGGCCCCTCGGTCAGGGCTCAGGGTGCCCTGGTGTCTGCCCGCAGCACCTCGAGCTGTACCTCGTCCCGGCCTGATGCCGGGACAGAGGAGCTCGTATCCTGAGTGGCCAGAGCCCTCGCTCTCACCGCCAGGCCTCCAGTTAGGGACCAGGGGCTGAGGTCAGAGGGCTTGGGCCAGGGGCGGGGGTGACTGAGCCCCCGCGAGCCTGGAGGCTGTCTCTGGGCCACCGTGGCCCTGGGTCCCACCCAGTCATGCTCAGATATTCCAGGGGGCACGCGGCCTGCAGACAGCCGGCCCCGGGACCAGCGCCGACTACGCCCCTGCAGGAGCCTCTCCGTGCAGCTCGGAGGAGCGTCTGAGGGCGGACAGCCTTGGAGAAGGCTCCTGCGCGGACTGTTCTTATCTTGGCCGAGAGAGCTCTGGAATCTAGGTACGCAAATGACCCCCCAACCCGATGTCAGCGCTGTGTGTTGAGCCAGCCGTTCTAACAATCAAAACAGATCGAGTTACCCAAAGTGAAATTCACAGACAAGAAATACTTTAATTAAATATCGTGTAAAATGAACATTTTTATACAGTTAAATATCTGAAAAAAAATGTACAGATAAAACAATCTTATTGTAGGGTCTTCAACAGTAAAATCTACCATTTAGTGGCACGCTCGGTTTTGAGACGATGACGCTGTGAGGGCAACTAGACCCAAACCAAGTGTGGGGTGAGCAGACTCACAAATGTCCCTAATGTGTACACATGAGCTCATTTTTAGGTCAAACCCTTACGTATACAAAATAAAACGGAGGCAAGTGAGTTCCAAAGTGACTCCTCAGGCCGGTCACAGGGCCAGAGTGTGACCGATGGCCTCCAGGATGTTCCGATTCTTCCATTTAGTCCCTCAAATGAACACCTTTAAGTCTGGCATGGTTTTGTTTTGGTCTTTCTCAAGAGAATTTTAACAAGTCCCTCCTTTTTGTTTTAGATTTGATTTCTGCTGCAAAGTGTTGGCTGTGCTGTGTGTCCGCAGAGGGAAAAGAACACGGCCCTCCTGGTCTCACCGCGGGTTTGGCACTAACAGGTACAGTGTCGCAAGGAGGTCGTTCCAGTTCAGAAAGTAGACAGCGCCGTTGGGGTCTGACCACAGGAAAGGTGTTGTTAAAAGGGGGTTCCGGACAAGGGGTGGCTGTGGGTCCCCTGGGGCCTCCGAGTCTGGGCTGGGCTCAGGAGGACGCAGGACACAGCAGACCCGGATGCAGAGAGCAGTGACACGGGCCCGTGGGGCTTGTGCTTGTGTGTGTGCACATGTGTGCACACACGTGTGTGCACACGCATGTGTGCACGTGTGTGTGTGTGTGTGCATGTGTCACCATAAATCTCCAAATGAAATCTCGATTAACAATTGTGGTGTAAGCCTGTGATAAGATAGCACAAAGGTTCTTTAAAGAAGTCCACTTTTAAGGCATCGGAGAAGTTAATGTGGCAAACATTTTAATTAAAACATCAGAAGTAAATTTTATTTTAAACTTTAGGCCTCTGAATTTTTCCAGTAAACACGGTTCAGCTATGTGGCAAAGTCATGGGTGGCAGCTAAAATGACTTTTTACATTCTACAAAAAGAAAAATAATAATGAAAGAAGGACGCCGCCCCAAATGGTGTCGCCTCTTTGTGGCCGTTCCACATGCACGGAATCTACTAGGACTTGTCACAGCCGGGTGGCACCGTTTTTGTTTTGACTATACAACGAACTTTTTTTTTTCTTCAAAAGTATTTGTTCAGATAACTTAAAAATAATATAAAAATAAACAATGAATTTGACTTTTCCTCAAAATTAAAAAAAAAAAAGGACAGAAAGTCTAAACAATAGCAAATTCTGGAAGTACAAATGAAATGCAAGGACGCTGGTTCACTGAACAGAACGGATCAGACAGACAGTTCTTGGCTGAATGCTCTTCCAGCATCTCACACCAGGCCATGATCGAAAACCAACACAGACAAAGAAACGGAAACCGAAAACGGCAGGAAAAGCAATGTACAAAATCTCGAAGATAAATACAATATTTATAATTGATATGTTACAAAATAAAGTCCCTTAGCAACAGCAAGTGTTCATGGAAAAGTAAGTGTTGAATGGAGACCATTTTATTCCTTATAAGATGCATAAGGAATAAAACTTGGTTTGTTTTTTTTTTCTAAATATTTAAGTGGATCTGAAAAAAATTCAAGACAAGTGTATAAATATTTAGCTACAACTTTGGCAAAATCACAAAAGTCTACAATTTTATAACCACATACAAAACACATCAGGGAAGAAGGATCTAGAAGTCAAAAGGACAACTTCTGGTACAAGAAACATGGACGTCACAGTAGCCTAAGAATGCAATAGTATACAGTGCTAGCAAAAGTTGAAAAAAAGCCGCAGATCACACTTGGTAACAGGAAGCTCTAGCAGTGGGGAATATTTTAACCAACAGACAGTAGCATTTCTTTTTCTCTGTCAGTGTGCTTGTTGAAGGCAAGAGGATTCAATATCAAAGTTACAGTTTCTAACTACAATAAGTTACAAAGTTTCATTTCATTAAGATGAAGTTAAGCAATGATAAACCCGCCCTCCCCCCCACCCCTGCCACCCCAGTTCTCCTAACCATATAGTCTTCCTTTCTTCCAGTTTGATGGCTCAGACCTCCTTGGCCCCCTTTCGTCACCACAAAAAAATATTTCACATTATCGAGATACACAACCATTGTGAATCTAAGTATGAGCACAGAAAAATGTCTGGAGGCGTTTTTCGTCAGTGTTTTATGATCATCAAAATGGTGCATTCACAAAGTTTCTCCCAACACATAGCAAGTACTAGACATAGCCAAGACGGAGTCAGAAACTTTATACAAAATAGGCGTCGCTTTGTTTTCCTTATTCTTCAGGACTGAGAAATGTGAAAATATGAGAAAAGTTCAGTCAATAAAATGGAATTGTTCATGAAGGAGTAGGTTGTTTGCATGTTGATTCTTAATAGTTTAAATAAAATCTTTAAACAAAGTCTCTCGGAGCATCGCGGCCGCTGCTGACGTACTGAAGACCCCGTCCCGCCAGCGCCTTGCATGTCCTGACGTGTCCCCTGAAGTCCGTCCTTGGATGCTGCATGGCGGCAGGTCACAGCGCCCCTCACATGGGCGGGACTACCAGCCCAGACATAGCTGCAAGAGAGGGGGGCAGGTCAGGGGCACCCCTCACCAGGCGCGGGGGCCTCCCTGGGCTTCGGTCAATGGGACAGTGGCTTTGCACGGCCCTCCACTAACCAGCCGTGGGCTCGGTTAAGGGCACCTACTTCACAGGGTGGAGGTGCACGTGGGGACAGACCCCCCCCAGGCTCCTCTCCTCAAAGACCTCAAGTGGCCAAGGGAAAGCCTTCTGGCCTTCTGCGTGCGAAGGGGCTGCCACCCACACACCTCGGTGGCTGGCAGACAGAGGCCCGGGCCCCCCCAAGGCCACCTCTGTTGACAGAGGCGTGCCAACCTGGCCACTCCTGTGACACCAGCCACGGCCGGATCTCGGGCTGGGGGGCACCCAGGCCCCGCTCTCACTCCCTACGTGGACTGGGCATGCCTCGGGCTCCCCTCTGCTCTCAGCCCCTGCCCTGGACCTGCTGCTGACCGCTCCGTATCGTAATGGTGAGTCGCGGGCTGGCCAAGATCAAAGCCACCACAGCCCACCTGGTTTGCAATCTCGGGGCCAAGGGCCCTGACAAGACAGAAGTCACGGCTCCACATGTGGGGAGCGTGTCCTTTCTCTTCTCGGAACAGAGAGAGAACGTGTGCTGAGATGCCGAAAGTGCAAGGATGCTTCCCAGTGAACTCCTGGTGCAAAGGTAATTTAAAACCTTTTAACTTTAGTGTTGTTTAATTTTTGTCAAGAGTGATTGTTCTCATTAATTTATGTATCACATATTAATACATTTGGTTCATGTAGTGATGGGAGCTTCAATTTCTCAGTTCATTAATTTCAACAATATTAATTTATCTCCGACTCACCGTTACAACTTTATGGTTTGGAAGACCCGTGTGTGTACACACGGCTTTCGCGGTGCCACCTTTTGGCGGGCCTTGGCGCCACGTGGGCGGTGGGCAGGGCCATGCACCCGGCCACCTGCCCCTTCGCCCCTGTGCTCTGGGGACCGCGGCTGGCTCACAGGCCAGTCGGCGGCCCTTTGGGGCTGGGCGACCCTCTCACGCTAACAGGTGTGGTGCAGACAATTATTTCAAATCACGGATACCTTTCCAGTTCCTTTTTTGAGCATTAGTTCATCAAAGTGAAATATGCCACCGACTTCACAAAAGGGCCAGTTTGTCTTCTCCACGGTAGCGTCCTCAGCACCCAGCAGAGAGCCTGGCACATAGTAGGCGCTCAGTAAATACTGGTTGAATAGGTTCAGTTTTTTTTTAAAGGAGTAACTGGATTTGGTTTTCACCGGGAGGAGCATATACCAAAGGAGGTGTCTGAAAGAGGCCAGGTGGCGGCCACTCAATCTCGGGGCCTGTGGGCCTCAGGTCACTCACCAGGAGCCGCGTGCAAGCTCACGAGGCCTGGGGGCCCACACACGGCCCCGCCTGCCACTGCCCAGAGGGCCCCGGCACGGGGAGGGCACTGCGAGGCCCGTCTGCGGGCCCCGTGCCAGGCGGGGCCTCCCACGGCCCTCGGGCGGGCCCTGCTCCCTCTGGAGTCTTTGAGAGCAGTCGCCCAGAGAGACCAACTCGTGTCCAGCGCTGGTTCAGGCACAGCCCCGGGTCTCCAAGGACAGCACGGCCTCTGGGGCCCCGCGGTCCCTTAGACCAGGCTGAGAATCGAGGCTCAGGATGGAAGCGCGGGCAGGCCCAGGCCAGGCGGGGGCTGCAGGCAGCACCGCAGCCCGCCACCCAGGCCTGAGGCTGTCCCGTGGGCAAGAGGGGCTCAGCAGGGCAGGACACGGCCCCTGCAGCCTCCACCGCGGCCCGTTTGCTTTCCCTGTGGCCTTCCACTCCCTGCGGGCACGGGCTGCTTTTACCACGAGGACACAGAAGTCGTCTCGGAAGGATGGGGAGATGGGTTTTATCAACCAAGAGGAAGCCTCTGCTTGCAGGGGCTGATCAAGCGGGGGTCACTCCTAGGCACACCCAGCGGGGATGGGGACAAAGGAGAGCATGCAAGGGGCAGGGCTGCCCTGCCAGGGGCCCCGGGCAGGCCGGAGCTCCCGCCCCCAGGGAGAGACCCGCAGGGCCCCGGGACCGCCCGGCCACAGCGTGGGGCCGGCGTGCACCCTCACCTTGCAGTCCGTTCCCGTTGGCGCTGGTGCAGGAAGGAGGAGGGGAGGCTTGGGGCCGGACCACGGGCGCGAAGGCGCTCTTTTGTTTCACTGCAGAGATGACATTGGCAGGTGAGAATGAGAAAATGCCGTGTGTACTGCTACAGTTTGAAGGGAGGGTGACCGAAGAGGCTGCCATGGTGGGGCTGGACGGCACTACTGTAACAAAGCAAACATGTCAGGACGCGCGACGCGGCCACGGCCACACGACAGAGCGCTCCGGGCCTGGCCTGGAGCCTCGGGCCACAGCGCAAGCATGAGATGTCTCTGGCTCGGCCACTCTGGGGACAACAGGCATCATCTAGCGCTTGCGTGGACTTTGGGTTCCAATTGGGCAGCCCCGGTTTGGTGCCGATTCGCTTTGGGCTCCGCCGTGTGACCGCGCGGGGCCCGCCGCCGGCGGCCGTGCGGACGCCCAGCCTCCGGAGCCACCCGTCCTTGCGTCCAGCAGCTCACACCACAGCACATCCACGCAACGCACACACGTGACTGCAGCGCATATGAATCTGTGTGATGACGTGTGACAAAAACAGACACTTACTGCCGTAGGGCGAGTTAGCGGAGGAGCCATTAAGAAATCCAGGCGAGCCCGGGACCCCTAGATTGGCCATGGCGCCAGTTCCGTATCCATTCATGCTAGTGCTGACTGTGCTGTAATTGGACTGCTGGGGAGTACTGCTCGGCGCGTATCCTCGCGGGGACACGCTGCTCGTGTTGCGACTGTAGCCGACTGTTGGACCCCCCCCCCCGGCCAAAAACAACGTTATTATCAGGGAGAGACACTGGGGGGGGGCGTTCCCCGCAAACCTCCATCGCCTGTCAAGCCCTACCAAACGACCGCGCGCGTTCCTCCAGCCCCAGCGCCTCTCGCCAGCTCTGACGGCCTTTGCCACGCCACGCCCTGCCCGAGCCCAGCGGCCTCACCAGCCGGCCGGCGCGCACGCACGCTTCCACCTAACCGTCAGCTGCTTTCGTGTTTCTCTTTAGAAGCGATTAGCCACAGCGAGATTCCTGGGCTGCACCCCACCCCAGCGCTGGGTGAACTTCCAGCCTTGCGCTGCCCACCTCACTCCACCCCACGCTAGGTGAACTTCCGGCCTCTGCAGGCCCTTCCAACGCCAGGGCTGATGAGGACAGCTTCTGTGTGGCCATAACTCCCCAGGAAAGGCGGCCGGGCTTCTCCCTGACTACAGTTGCTGTTTCTGTCAGTGTGGGGGCGGGCGGGAGCCTAAGCCTTGCTCCCATCTTGGGATGAGGGTGAATGGGGGCCAAGCAGCTGATCGGGAGGTTTTTTCTGACACAACAGCCTGTGCAGAGTTTAGAGCGGCCGCAAACAGATAGAGTGCACATGGGGAACGGGCACTTCACTCCACAAACTCCTTCCAAGCTCAGGAGCCAATCCCCGCACCATCAATGCATCCAGGCAGGGTCCCCGGCTCCCTAAGTCACAGCCATCCTATGACTCTTCGCAGCCCTCCCAGGGAAGCAGAGCCACTTAAAAGATCCATCCCGGGAGATGTCTAGCAAAGCCCGGCAAGCTGTGCCTCAGTTTCTGACTTCTCTGAGCAGCCCCTGCCGGGGGCCTGTCTGAGCAAGAGCCGCCGAGCCCGGGGCGCCACCCCCGACCCCGCCGGCCTCCAGGCACTGGCGGGCACCCCGCCTGGGCATCCAGGGCAGGGGGCCCCACGCGGCGTACCTTGGTCGTTGGCTTGTGACGTCTCTGCGACATTGACTGCTAGCTGGCTGCTGAACGAGTTCACGCCCATCATGCCCGTGTGTGCAGGGGTGTTGCCCAGGGTAGGGATCTGGTTGTGGTTGCGAGGGACACTGTACAACGCCTCGGCGATGTCAGCCGCCCGCTTCAGGATGATCTCCTGGGGCAGGAGGGGCCCGTTACAGCCAGGCCAGGCCTCCCCCCCAACCCCTCCCTGGGAGCACAGTCCTAGCCCCTCCACTGGGCCCTGCTGGGCAACCAGTGGGAGCGTCCTACCATCCCTCGGTCCAGACAGGGACAAAAGGGACGTCTTAACAGGAAAGAACCTCCCTCAGGAGAACGGCTGAATACCCCATCCATCCCATTTCTGCTCTCACAGCCCAAAGGCCCTGAGGTGCACACCGGGCCGGGCAGCATGGAAGGCCCTGGA